ACTGCAGTTCTTACATTAGTAACACGGTTGTTAAGTGAATCTGGTTTCCCCACTGACTTTGCTTGCCAGAAGTCGCAAAAGGTAATCACATGACCCCGGGACACTGCAACCATCATAAATGTGAGTCAGTTGTCAAGCATCGGAATGTAAATCATGCGACCATGGGGATGCTGCAATGGTCATAAGTGTGAAAAATGGTCATAAGTCACTTTTTTCAGTGCCATTGTAACTTCAAACAGTCACTAAATGAATTGTTGTAAGTTGAGGACTACCTGTACCGCTGCAAAAAAAAAAAAAAAAAGCCACATGGATGCACTGGTGAAATCATTAGGAGTCAACTCAAGGGAATTTCATCCTGGATGTCTGGTGCCTGTTATATCACTTATGATCCAGTTGCATTACTCTCTATGACAACTAAGCTGGATTTATTGCTGAGAAAAAACTTATCCAGGAATTTTTAGACTCCTGTATTGAGGGTCTGAGGACAACTTTTCTGAGTTCATATAGCAATAGCACTTAGATATATATAATGCTTCATAGTGCTTTACAGCCCCCTGTAAGCGGTTTACAGAGTCAGCATATGGCCTCCAACAATCTGGGTCTTCATTTTATCAACCTTGGAAGGATGGAAGGCTGAGTCAACCTTGAGCCGGTGAGAACTGAACTGCCGAACTGCAGGCAGTCAGCAATCAGCAGAATTAGCCTGCAATACTGCCTTCTAACCACTGCGCCACCAGGGCTCTTATGCCGGTTACCCAACTTTTTTAAAAAGAAAAATGGAACAGGTCCCTGATGTCATGTGTCTGATTAACGAAACACTTAAAAGAACTTTCAGGCATTTTTTTAACCTAAAAGCCTTTATTAAGGTTACAGAGATGTCAGTACGGCATGGTGGAATGCTAAGATCTGATTTTCCCTTCCTTTGCACATAACATTCCAGGCATTTTTCTCTCCCCTATTTGGGGGTCATGATTTACATCTTCCAATTAACTTGGAAGATGTGATTCACTTCCGGTTCCTTTTTCCCGGGCTTTCCTTATTCTCCTCCCCTTTCACTGTTGCCTGATTTAACTATAAAAATACCAGGCAGTTCTGCACATTGTCAAAGCAAGAATATACAGTATTTGCAGCGTTGACACCTGACCTACCCTTTGAATCTATTTCTCTCATAGGTCTATCTTTCGAAAGCTAAAATGCAGAAGATACCTATACAGATAATCTAGACAATTTTTTTTATAGCAGAATGATAAAATGAATCAAGAGACCTAAGGAGATGTTTAATATTTTTCTGACTTATTACCATAATTTGTACATATTTAAAAACAGTGACTTTTTGGCCTTTTTTTTCTCCTCTGCAAGTCCAAATAAATTAAGCTGGATGCTGAATGCAAGAAAAGTAAGATTTTCCTTAGTAATGCCTGACTTTCCCTCAATAGAGATAAGTTTTGTTCTCCCACCTCCTAACAGAAAAATGTTCACGGGAGAGGCTGGACTTGTTTCTTGAAATCTGGCTGAAAAGGATGTTTTCTTTCAGTGATATTAAGCCTTGTTCATACTTAACATGAGAGTGAAAACAAATGGGAGAGAAAAACAGAGAAGAGTTTTGAGTGCTTCAGCAGTCTCCCAACACTTCAGAAGTTGTCGGACTAGGAAAGGCAGATCCATAATAGGGTTATGCAGAAACCACCATATCATTTTTCAGCTGAAACTCTTAAAGCATGTAAAATAAGAAAATACCTTTCCTTAAATCTTTAAAAAGATAAGCAAGATAGTTTTTCTGCTTTATGTTTAAATAGCCTTTTTATTCTCATCAGGGTTAATTAGACAGTAGCTTATCTTCTTTTCCATATTGAACTTCAAAGTTCTGATGTGTGAGTCAAAATGATCAAATGGAGGAAATTACCCTGTGCGTACTTGCAAGGGAGGAAACCATCCTGAAATGAAGGCCTGCTACATTTACATAAAAGTTACCAAGATCATGTATCATAGGAAGCCATTTTGTGATTTGCTTGGTTTGTTAGCCATGATTCTAGGTTTGGCTTGTGGCACAGATCCAGCTAATTGTGGTTTAACCAATAATTAAGGCATGGTTTTATGCAATGTTTAATAAAGTTTGTATCTCAAGATATTTTCTCTACAAGAAAAAGTTCACAAACAACTTTTAACAATGGTCATCATAAGACTGCCAGAAGAGCTGAGTAGGAAAGAGATGAAGATAAACGGCTTGATAAACTCTTGTACCTTTAAAGGCAATTTAATATTAATTACATAGGAAGTAAATAGTTATCGAAGGATCTCTTTAACAATTGGCGCTGGATTTGTACACTATACCACACATAATTTAATTAATAACTTATTTTTGGGTCCACAAAATACATTAGATCATAAAGTAACTAAAAGAGATGGATTCTCACAACACACAAAAAAACTACACACACACACAAACCACCTAAACAAAATTAAAACTAACCTAGCATAGCATGTTGTTCGAGGCTGTTATGTATTAAGCAATTCAAAGGGTCTGTTATAAAGAAACGGTTAACTGATTGCTTTATTTGAATGATAGACTGTCTGTATAACTTTAAGCCTGTTGTTTTAGGCGGGAAGCAATACTTTAAACTGATTGGCCGTCGCCTAGTGGCGGTCCGTATAAATATAAGTCAGGCAGCTTCTAGAGCTCGCTTCTGTGAGAACCTAATAAAGAACTGTTAATTCAACTCCATGTCTTCAATGTCTCGCTGTTCCCACTACACAACAGAGGCATTTACTGTTTTTTTTAATTGACCTCATTATGTCTATTATATGAAGTAAACTAATGTAAGGAACTGAGATAGCAAGACAAACTCCTTCTCGTGTTTCAGGGCATTGTGAGAAGAAAGGACTGTAAGCCGGGGATGTCAAACTGGCAGCCCGCGGGACGGATGCATCATGCCGAAACTGTGCCCACCCCATTGCTGGCAATGGAAAAAAAAGTCATGATATGTCGTGACAAGTCACGTGATGTTGCAAGTTTGACACCTCTGCTGTAACCCTTTAATAACCAAATGATGCACATCAAAATAACATTAAAGAAAGAGCTGTAGAAGCTGGTTGACATTTTGGCAAACCTTGTTTAAGTATCTGGGGTAAACAGTTACTCTAGGTTGTGGCTTGCTAGTTATGGTTAACAGAGAACCAAGAAGCC